TTTACCAGTTAACTGAATTTTTTTTTTTGTGGCAGGGAAGGCAGTTGTAGCTGGTTTGCTAAGAATTTCTTTATTCATACTCTTATAACTTCGTATTTTTTATTGTTATTATGAAATAGTTGCATACAGGGGTTACAATTCCATTTGTCAAGTTAAGAGTGCATTGCTTCTTGGTAACTACACTTTAACAAAACATTTTTCTGGGAGGAGGCTCTGCACAATTTTCTCCAATTGTTTTTTTACTCTTTTCTCCCAACCTTCAATGCAAGTGTTCTAGTTGATTTTCCCCCCTCGTTTGTGGCGCTTAAACTTATGGCCTGAGCAGTATCTCTGAGCTCTTTGCTCAAGGCTTACTACTTTGAGCCACAGCATCACTTCTGATTTTCTAGTGTTTAATTGGGCTTTCCTGAATGGGCTGGCTTTGAACCAGGATCCTTAGGTTTCAGCCTCTTTAGTGGCTACAGGCTTTTGTTTGTTTTAACATTCTTTTTTGTCTGGAAACTTTTTTCTTAAATATAATCCTATGGCTTTGTTTTTTCTTCTAGTGGGTTACTTGGAAATTTATAATCTCATAGATAATAGATACTTGTGCATCTTATCTGTAGTCATCCAGACCTGTTACCTGCATATTGGATTACTATGTCTATGTTTTTTCTGTGAGCTGCTCTTGGAAAAAATTTTACTGTAAATCTTTCTACTATCTTCACTTGGGAAAACAGCCTTTTTTTTTTTTATCCTACTGTGTCTCTTGGTTGTTTTCTGGACTCAGTTCTATTTTATACAGAGCTCCAGTGAGCATCCTAATACAGCTCATACTTTGAGAACCTTCTCTTTTTCAAATCTCTCACTTCCCTTTAGTGTTAGGGATGGAATCCACTCCCATTCTCACTTCAGTATTTGGTGTCTAGGAATGTTCTCTCTACAGGGCCTTACATATACACACACAAAATGTTAAATGAATTATTAATGAAAAGAATGTGGCAAGATACTAGCAAGTATCAGTGGGTGGCAGGAGATCCTGGAAGAGTACATGAAGTTAGACTTTCTTAAAGCACCAGAGACTCTTCAGGATTAGATAAGAACTCCAGACCTTTCTGACCACAGTGACTTAGGCCTATAATCCTAGCTATTCAAAGAGAACAAGAGGAACATGGTTCAAAAAGTTTGGGAAACCCTGTCTCTACTGATAAAATCTGTCAACCCAGCTACATTTGATGCTTAGATAGGATCTTGGGATAGGGGCATGGCTTAAGTTGTAGAGCTCACATCTAGCAAATGCAGGCCCTCAGTTCAAACCTTCAATACTACAATGAACAAAGTGAAATAAAACGTAAAACCCACCAAACAAAAAGCCTCCAGCTCTTGGGGGATAACTATGGGAAAGATGATATCTCTTTTATATCTGTACTAGTATTAAAGAATATAGGATGGCTATTAATTGGGCATAGATAGACACCATTGGACTTAAACATTTTTTTTTTTAACTCTCAGAGTGGTTAGTTGTTTTTTTTTTTTTTAACACTCTTGAACATCTTCTGTCAATGGAGGAAACATTAAAAAATAGTCAGTAACCTTTCTCTCCTGGGTGTCTCACTGATGTTTTTGGGGTAGACATCCATGTATTAGTCCCTTAAATGCTTTCTGATTTTCTAATTCTGTGAATAATAACCTGTCCAGATTCTATTACTCCTTTTGAGAGCTTGTAATCCTCACTACCAGGATTTTTTTTTTAATTTTTTTTTTTTTGGGTCCTGTCGTGGGGCCTGAACTCTGGGCCTGGGCGCTGTCCCTCAGCTCTTCAGCTCAAGGCTAATGCTCTACCACTTGAGCCACAGCGCCACTTCTGGCTTTTTTTTTCTTTTTGCTTATGTGGTGCTGAGGAATCGAACCCAGGGCCTCATGCATGCAAGGCATGTGCTCTACCACTGAGCCACCTTCCCAGCCCTACCAGGAATTTTTTTTCCTGTTCCTAGAGCTTGAACTCAGGGCCTCGATGCTGTCTCTGTGTTTTTGTTTTTGTTTTACTTAGTGCTAATACTCTACTACTTGAGCCACAGCTCCACTTTGGCTTTTTGGTGGTTAATTGGAGATAGGATCTCACAGGCTTTCTTGCCCAGGCTTCCTTTAAACCACAATCTCTATAGATATAGAGATCCCTAGCTACTCCTCGGGATTCTTAAATCACATATGGCTGGACTGGAGATGGAGTTAGTCTGAGATGGGCCTCGGCAGCCATTTCCTTTTCAGATTGTCCATTGTTATCTTTATATAAAACTGGGTTATCTTTCTATTGTTGGATTGTTAAAGTTCTTTATATGTATAATCTGGATATAAATCTCTTACTGGATGCATGATTTTTATTGTTTTTTAAACCATTTTATTGTCTTTCTTACATGAAATACTTTACAAGTACTTTTGGCAAAATGTTGCCATTAAAATCATGGGAAAAGCTAAGGCAGTTTATAAAAACTTTATTAAAATATTAGATTTCTTAACCATTTCCCTGGTTTAAAATTAAGGTATTGTGGGGTCTTAGATATAGCTCAGTAGTGCTTGTTTTTTGTTTGACTAGAAATGCAAGGAAAAAACTGGAAGTACATTTTTATTGAATAATATTCAGCCATAAAATGTGTTTGTAAACATTAAACTACTGGAAATACATAGTAGGAAAAAAGCATTTCACATAGAACATTGATATCATATAGGTAAAATTACATTCAAAAGAATCTTAAACTTGAGCAAGTAGGGTGGCATGTCCCAGAAGTCTCAGCCACTCAGTAGGCTGAGGCAAAACAATTGCTTTAGTGCAGGAGTTTGGGGCCAACCTGGCCATCATAGGAAGACTCTCTTAAAACACAAAAATTCAAACTTACATAGGCAGGTACTGGTAGCTCATACTTGTAATTGTCTAGTTATTCAAGAGGCTGATATCTGGAGGATCTTGCTTCAAAGCCAGCCTGTGAAGAGAAGTCCAGGGTAGTTCATATCCAAAAATAGCAACAGAAACACAGACTGGACATATGGTTTAAATGCTAGTGCACCAGTTGATTGAGTAAAATAGCCAGCCAAATAGGCTATGGCCCTGAGTTCAAATCCCCTATACCCAACCTCCCCATCAAAAAAAAAAAGTAAAATAAAAGAAATACTCTAAAATATTTATGGTTAGCACTAGGTTAATTAGGATATTTACTCCCCCCTCTTTTTTTGTATGTATAGTTCATATATGTATATGTTGTTGTTCTGATCCTGGGGCTTGAATTCGGGGCCTAGGTGCTGCTCCTGAGTTTTTGTGCTCAAGGCTAGAGCTCTACCATTGAGCCACAACTCTTCTTCCATCTTTTTGGTTGATAATTGGAGATTAAAGTCTCATAGGATTTCCTGCCTGGACTGGGTTCAAACTGTGATCTTTGGATCTGACCACCTGAATAGTGAGGATTGCAGGTGTAAGCCACTGGTGCCCACTTGGGGTGGTATTTTATAGATGTTATTATGCCATTTTCCCCCCAGTCCTGGAGCTTGAACTTAGGGCCTGAGCACTATCCCTGCTTTTTGCTCAAGCTAGCACTCTACCACTTGAGCCACAGTACCATTTCTGGCTTCTTCTGTTTATGTGGTACTGAGGAATCAAACCCAGGGCTTCATGCATGCTAGGCAAGCACTCTACCATTAAGCCACATTCCCAGCTCCTTTTATTGCATTTTTAGCTGATAATATTTGTACAAGAGCACAGAAAATTTTATGGCCTAAAGAAACACTGAAACTACTGAGACAGTCTGAGAGGACATCACTTCCTGTATGATAGATACCATCAGCACTTACTGTAAAGCTGAAAACAAGTGCTGGCATCATTCTCTTCCAACTGGGCCATGTGCATTTCTGATAAAATAACATCAAATTTCTATCATCTGTTCTTTCTTCCATTTTAGGAAAAAAAGTTGTATAACTGAGCCTGTAGAACAGGGTGAGTGATAATGGACAGGTACATTACCAGTTATTTGGAAGTTCATAAAAGAGCAGTTAGCCACTTAAAATATTAAGAATATTTTTTTCTTTGGCTGGAGATCTATGGCTCACACCTGTAATCTCAACTACTCTGGAGGCTGAGGTACAAGAATAATGGTTTGAAGCCACCCGGGCAGGAAAGTTAATAAAACATTTATCTCTAGTTAACCACCAAAAAGCCAAAAGTGTGGCTCAAGTCATAGAGCAGTTAGTGTTGAGCTAAAAAGCTCAGAGACATATCCCAGCCTCTGAGTTCAAGTCCTAGGACCTGCATACAAAAAAGAGTATTCTTCTTTGAATATTGACTTTAGGAAATTGTTTCATCATAAGCTATTCTTTCTACAGAGCTATATCCCATCAGTCTTTTTTAAAAAAAATACTGCTTTATCAATTAAAATGTAGGTCTGTTGAAGAAATTATTTTTCTTAGTAGTTCTTATGTGAATAGATGAATATAATATATGCTTTTAAATAATGGCCATATTCACTTGTTCTGTCCACTTATTTTCATAAAGATTATTTTTATTTTTTTATTTCTTCAGTTTTATAGCTGTACTGTAGTTTGAACTCAAGACCTCAAGCTTGCTGTAGCATATGCTCTACCACTTGAGCCACACCTCCAGCCCTGATTTTTGTTGGTTATTTTAGAGATGGAGTCTGGCGGACTTTCTGTCCACTGAGATCTTCTAGATCTCATCCTCCTGAGTAGCTAGAATCACAGGTTTATGAGTCCATGGTGCTCAGCTAGATAATTTAAAGTCAACTACAAAAGTTGGCTGTAGACTGGCCATGAATTGGCTATTGTTTTAGCTGTTATTAGTTACTAACCAAATGAGTTAATCATATATTGCAGACATAGTGGATATGATATAAAGATTCTTACATAGTTCTTTTTTTCTGTTGTAGACACTAGCATTTACATAGAAAAGAAGATCATACAATAAATAAATAAATCTCAGCCTGCTAATAGCTAAAAAATTTGTCTCTTTGTTTAGGAGTTGGTAATGCTTCTCTTAGAATATAATGCTGATACTACCGTGGTAAATGGGAATGGACAGACAGCAAAAGAAGCATCTCATGACAAAGAAATCAGAAATATGCTTGAAGGTAAATATTATGGATCTTAATTTGAATTCTGTTTAATTATATCCAAGGTCCAGCAGAAATTTAAAGGCATGAGGAAATGTGGCCAAACTGATAAGCATGACAATGAAAGAATGCAAAAATGCAGGACAGGATATTTAAAAGATGTAGCTATTAGACATCATTTGATAGCTTAGAGGTAGCTCTGGCTGACTCTCTTGAAGACTTCATCATAGTATAACAGTCAACAGCAATTTCTGGATTGACATGTTTAATTGTGAACATCAAAGGTTAAATTTCATTTAAATGTCATTTAAGAAGACATAAGTCTGTAGTAACTCAGAGGCATTTCTCTAAAACAATTTAAAATATTTTCATTGGGAAATCTTATTACTGTAGAATCACTTTCTGAACGGCTAGGGGTTTAATTATTTTTATAGTATTTTTTTCATTTTTTTATTGTGAAAATACTGTACAGAGGGGTTACAATTACATAAGCAAGGTAATGAGTACATTTCTTATCAAGCATTGTTGCCTCCTCTTTTGTTTACCCTTACCATCCCCTACCATCCCTTCCCATATCCCTCCCTCCCCCGCTTTGTGTATTATTTTTACCAGAAAAGATCCTGAATTACTACTTTATGAATAAAGATAGTAAATTAAAGTTGCAACTTCACATATATGCTATATTTTCTTTTCCTTATAATTTTTATTATATGTTGATTTTACTTGTTTATTATCTTTAAGTAGTTGTACACAGGAGTTACAGTACATCTTGATCAATGTCACACCTGTCAGTATTTTCAACCATCCCTCCCAACTCATCCCTTCTCTCACTTTTTTAATTTTGTAGGATATACAATTGATTTGATTGATGTTGATATATTGATTTTATTGATGTGATTATATGTTGATTTTATGAAGTTTTTATTTTATATTGATTATGACAGGATAGTTTTATATTTAAAGGGTGTTGATTTTGTAATTTTAACTAGTATTTTTATCCATGTAAAAACTAAGGTCCTGTTTTTGACTATTTTCCAATTGATCTTGAGAACTGAACTTTGTTGTTTTTTTTTTTTGCTGGTCCTAGGTCTTGAACTCAGCCTGGATGCTGTCCCTGAGCTCTTTTGCTCAAGGCTAGGACTTTAAATTTTACATTCAGACATTTTGAAAGGAGAGTTAATTTGAGATAAACTCATTGTCAAGGGAACAAGCAAATCATGTAATATCTTTTATCAGGCACTCATTATGTTTTAAAACATACAGAACATACTAATGGAGGTCTCTGTCCTTCAATATATTGTGGTCTAATTGAGAGGATGAAGTAATTTTCTTATTCTGTTCTCTCTCTCTCTCTCTCTTTCTCCCTCTCTCTCCCTCTCTCCCTCCCTCCCCCCTCCCCCTTTCTCCCTTTCTCTCCCCCTCTCTCTCCTTCTCCCCCTCTCTCTCCCTCTCTCCCCCTCTCCCCCTCTCTCCTTAAACTAGGTGCCTAGGTGCTGTCCCTGAGTATCTTTTGCCCAAGGTTAACACACAGCCACTTGAACCACCTCTGGCTTTTTCTGTGATTTAATTGGAGATAAGAGTCTCATACACTTTACTGCTCCTAGCTGACTTTGAACTGGAATCCTCAGTTTTCAACCTCTTAGTAGCTAGGAGCATAGGCATGAGCTACTGGCACTGCCTGGCTTGTCATTTATTTATTTAATACTTTTTATTGTAAAGATACTGTGCAGAGGGGTTACAGTTACATGAGTAAGGAACATTTCCTATTGAGCATTGTTACCTCCTCCTTTGTTTTCCCCTACTATCCCCTCCCTCCCCACTTCATCTCTCCCCTCCACCCCAAGTTGTAAAGTTTGTTTTCAACATAGTGTCTTGTATGTCTCATTGTCAGCCTGGTTCAACCTGTATCCTTGTTTCAGCATTTTGTTTTTTCCCTTCCTCTCCCCAAATTAGAAAAATGTGTATACAAAATGCAGGGCACTGGAATAAAATACAGTGAAAACAGGGGTTATACCATGGGGGAAGAATATACAAAAGAAACCAAAAAAAAATACATAGTACATTATATATACATTAAAAACAACAGTAAAAAAGATAAAACCTCTTGGGTCCCTATCTTGGGGTTCATTTCACTTAGCATCATCTTATATGGTCATATGTACATAGCTTTTGACCTTTTCTGCTTGTCTGGTAAGATTATCCTAGACGTATATTAGTTATTGCAAATAAGGGAAACCATGGGACCTATGTTTCTTTGGGTCTGGCTTACTTCACTTAATATAATTTTTTTCAAGTCTTTCCCATTTCCTAACAAATGAGACAATGTCATTCTTTCTGATGGAGGCATAGAATTCCAGTGTGTGTGTGTGTGTGTGTGTGTGTGTGTGTGTGTACACCATATTTTCTTGATCCATTCATCTACTGAGGGGCATCTGGGTTGTTTCTATATCTTAGTTATGGTAAATAATTCTCTGAAGAAGAAATAAGAATGGCCAATAGACACATGAAGAAATGCTCAACATCTCTGGCCATAAAAGAAATGGAAATCAAAACAGCATTGAGATTCCACCTGACCTGAATGGCTATAATCAAGAAATCTAATAACAACAAATGCTGGAGGGGATGTGGCCAAAAGGGAACCCTACAGCATTGTTGGTTGGAGTGTAAACTTGTTCAACCACTCTGGAAAGCAGTGTGGAGGTTCCTCAAAAAACTACACATAGAGCTTCCCTATGACCCAGCAATTTGGGCGTTTACCCAAATGATCACAAACAAGGCCATACTAAAGGCACAACTATGTTTGTCTATAATTTTAATGTGTAGAAATGAGAACTCAGAGCTGAGTTGTTCTGACAGACTGGAATGTTAGGTTAGTCTGACAAGTTGACATTTAATAAGGGAATTGCAAAAAATATGCTCTTAAGGCTTTTCCAAAACCTAAGCTTGATAAAGGCTAATGCAATTTGTCAGCTCAAGTGGTCTTTGTAAGGAAACACCCCCGCTTGCAAACCTAATCTCCGCCCTTGATGGCAGCACCTGTGCAGTAAGTGAACCTCCCCCCACTTCCAGTCCCCAAGGATATAAAAGGGGCCGCCAAGGAAGCAGATGGCACCATTTTCTCCCTTTCTTCATTAGAACTTGGCTTTGTTAGCTCTGCTGGCAATAAATCTTTTCTTCTATGTGACTTCTGTCCATGTGGTCTTCTGGGTTACTTTCTGCCTGGGTTACATTTTCCTTTCAGTCTTAATCTGGGAAGTAAATTTTATTAAGTGATTCTTTCTAATGAGATCACCTTAGCCAGATGCAATACCATTTGTGGACAGAGCATTAACTTGCTAATGGGCTATAGGAAGTACATTGAAAAACCAATCCACCAAGACCACAGATAATTCAAAAACCAGATCATAGGGACAATGCACAAAGAAGTAGGCAATAGTTTACCTCAGGCATATTTACATACAATGAAATCACAGTTATATCTGAAGAATTGGTATTTGGGAGAAGGGATGGTTTTATTTGGGGTTCAACCACAGCAGTCAACAGTTTTGTTTGTGGACTACCTTAGACTTTATCTTTGGGTACAATGTGCTAATACAATGCTGACTTAAAGGATTGAGTCTCTTGATTGGTATTCTCAGGTATTAGAATGGAATAGTTTCTTTCTTTGCATCACATTTGTCTTTTATTTTGAAAATTTTCCAAGCTATGGGAAGTTTTTAAGAATAATGTAATAAAATAAAAATGAATATTTTAAAAATGAATATTTTGCCACATCTGGCTTATTCTTTTAAATATTACTTGGTCTTATTTATTTTGTGTATGTATGTGTGTGTGTGTGTGTGTGTGTGTGTGTGTGTGTGTACATTGAACCATTTGAAAGTAATTTGTAGATGTAGTGATCTCTTGACCATAAATATTAAAATGTGTTTAAGAGCAAGGATACTTTCTTACATAATAACAGTGTCTCTGCTCAGTGTCTCTAAACATTGATTCTAGGATATCTGTGGATACCTAAGTTGTTTGTACTGAAGTCCCTTATATAAAATTATACACTATATATAACCTGTACATATCCTCCTGTATACTTTAACATTATCTCTATGTGACTTAACTAATAGAATGTAAGTACTGTGTAAATAATTGTCATGCTATGCTGTATAGGAAATAATGACAAGAGATAAACAAGACTACAATGTTTAGTAGAAATACCATTTAAAAATACTTTCAGTTTGTGATTGGTTAAATCCACAGAAGTGCAACCCATGGATAATAAGGCTGACTGTATAATGATTATTAGGATATTTAACAACAGTCTACAGATTATCTCTAATCTAAAATTCAAATTGCTCAAAAATTCACAACTTTTTCAGTGCCATTCCTGGAACTTGAATTCGGTTCAAGGGTTGTCCTTGAGCTTTTGCCCTCAAGGCTAGCACTCTGCCACTTGAGCCATATCTCTACTTCTGGCTTTTTGGTGGTTAATCACAGATAAGAGTCTGTCTCATGGACTTTTCTGCCTAGATTGTCTTTGAACCCTGGTCCTCAGATCTCAGGCTCCTGGGTAACTATTGGCTGCAGCATTTCCAATTTTGGATTTTTTTTAAATCAGTAAAGGCTATGCAAATATATCCAAACATATGAAATTTGAAACACTTATGGGTCCAAGCAATTTAAATAAGTGATATACAACCTATTATGTTATATAATAGACATTTTGTGTATAAAGCTTGCCAGTTGTCCAAATAATGTCCTTGTAGTATTTTCTACCCAATCTATATCTAATCCAGAATCTCATGTTGTATCACCACATCTGTTTAAACAGGCTCTTATAAAGTTTCTGCTTATGCCAGGAGCTGGTGGCTCATGCCTATGACCCTAGCTACTCAGAAGGCTGAGATCTTAGCATTGCTGTTCAAAGCTAGCCCTGGCAGGAATGTTCTTGAGACTCTTCAAAAAAGCTGGAAGTAGAGTTCAAATGGTAGAGTGCTAGCTTTGAGCAAAAGAAACTCAGGGACAGTGCCCAGGCCCTCAGTTTAAGCCCTAGGACTGGCATCCAAAAAAGTCTCTGTTTTTATTTGAAATAATTCTTCAGCTTAAAAAAAAGTAATACTGACCTTTTGGAATTTTTTGTAGAATGTTTGTCAATTAAGGTTTTTCTTTTCATATGATTAGATTTAGGATATGCACTTTTTTAAATTTAAATTTTATTGTAAAGGTGATGTACAGAGGAATTACAGTTATATAAATAAGGTAATGAGTACATTTCTTTTTGAACAGTGTTACCCCTCTCTCATTTTCTTTCACATTTCCCTCTCTTGACTCCCCACTACCCTCAAGTTGTACAGTTCATTTCCAACAGGGTCTAGTGAGTATCACTGTTGAATTGGTTTGCCCTTTGTCCCACCACTTCTCTGACTCCCCATCCCTTCCCCAAATCAGATAAACTTATATACAAGACAAAGGGTACAGAAATAAAAGCAACAAAGGGGGAAAAAAGAAAAAAGAAGTAACTGCAAATAGTACAATAAAAAAATACCTCTTTTTTCCATTTCTTGGAGTTCATTTCGATAAGCATCATTTTATATGGTCATATGCACATAGCTATTGAGCCCTTGTGATCCTCTCCTAAGAATATCCTCTTTTGTTCTCATTGTGGAATGGTTAGAGTACTGTTTAATCATGTCCAAGTGTAATTATTTGTTTTATTATCCATTAGCTTAACTTGTGGGTTTATAGACATATTCTAGTTATTACAAAGGAGAGAAACCATGCAGCCTATATTTCTTTGAGTCTGGCTTACTTCACTTAATATAATTTTTTCCAAGTCTTTCCATTTCCTGATGAATGGGGCAAGGTCCTTCTTTCTGATGGAAGCATAAAATTCCATTGTGTATATATACACCACATTTTCTTGATCTTGTTTTTTTTTTTTGTTTTTTGGGTTTTTTTTTCTTTCTTGTTTTTGGTGCTGATCTGGGGCTAAAACTCAGGGCATGATGGTATGCTCCTGGAGTTTTTTTTGTCTCAAGGATAGAACTCTACCATTTGAGCTACTGAGCCACTTATGACTTTTTCTGAGTAGTTTATTGGAGATAAGTCTCATGGACTTCTCTGCCCTAGGCTGGCTTTGAACTGCCATCCTCAGATCTTAGTCTCTTGAGTAGCTAGGATTCCAGGTGTGAGCTACCAGCTCCCGGCCATCACTGGTAATTTTAACTTTTAATTTCTGGGTGGTCTGTGAGAAAGGTATCTTTTTTCCTTTTTAACCAGTAAACTGGGTGGTGTTGGTAGGGAGAATTTGAGGCTTGTCTTGTTTGCAGTGGTGTAGCACTCTATAATATTTGCCCAAGTCATTTATTCCTATGGTGATTGCAAAGCGGTAATTTTCTATCATGAATGAGATACATTTCTCAGTTGTTTTTCTACATGTCAACTGTACTATTTAACATATTCTGTGAAAGTATCTGAGCATCTGTCAGGATGCAGGAGATTTCATAACCTCTGAGATCCTAAGTAATTGTGGATTTTGATAGAAATGAGAGTTACTAAATTTAAAATTTAATGGTTCTTGGGATTTGGAGCATTTGCTTTAAGAAACATCCAGAAAAAACTGCAGAAAAGTACATATTATTAATGTACAGATTACAGTTTTCACAAATTGGAAACATTTACCATATGAATAATGCCTGTATCAAGATGTCTGTCACCCCACGTTAGAACTTTTGCTTGTCAGCAGTCTTTCAGTTTCCTGAATGAACAAATGCAGGAAGGGTTTAATTCAAGAGCATATATAGGATTAAAAAAAAATCTGTCCATTTTCCTTATTTCACGAGCCTGGAAGCTCTAGGAATTAACATTATAATACCCTTTATTTCCCTTCCATGAAGTCTGGGACAAATACTGTCATGTATTATTTGATTATTTTTGATAAAATATGCATTGTGTTGGGTACTGTCATAAATGCCTGTGATAAGGACACCAGACTTCAAGAATGATGGGGGAGTAAATTACATCTTCATACATACATAGAAGTGAGTATAATAGGGTATAGAGTGTTACTGTTCAGTGGCCATATTATTCCTAGCTACAGAAGTACACTGAGCCTATGTAGAGGAATGTGTCTGAGTATGGAAATAAAATGTGAGAACAGAAGATTAAATGTAGCAAGATTAGTCATTTCTTAAGATAAAGCTAAATTAGTTCCTATATTCAGTGGATGGGCTCCTTGTAGTTGCAATGTGCTGGCTTGCATAATGTTTCCATTTGAATTGGCACACAGTAATTACTATCTGTAGTTACTGTTCATCTGTTTCCTCACTAACCTGGCTCCCCAACCTGCTTCTCTTATCACAGCTTAGGCCAGAGAGAAAATCAGGAGAATGCTTTCTTGTAGTCTTTGCATAGGATATTGTACATGTGTATTGAGTTGAGTTACTAAGACCTCACATAAAAATTGTCCCTTTTTTTTGAAACTAAATCAGAATTCAAGTCTAGCAGAGATGAAATTTTATTGATGTATTCCACTCTTAAATAAGATAGCAAGCTATTCTTAACAAAAGAAGTGGTATTGATAAAAAGCTCTAGCTCTCTATGGGATTTGGAAACAGCCTGCTCCAGTTCAAATCCCAGCCCCTTCAATGTGTGACTTTGGTTAAGTACTTTAACCTTCTGATGTCTTAGTTTTCATTGTTTAGTAAATGAGGATAAGCCGGGCACTGGTGGCTCATGCCTGTAATCCTAGCTACTCTGGAGGCTGAGTTCTGAGGATCATGGTTCAAAGCCAGCTAGGCTGGAAAGTCCATGAGACTCTTATCTCGAATAAACTACTAGAAAACCAGAAGTGCCACTGTGGTTCAAGTGGTAGAGCACACACCTTGAACTGAAGAGGGCAGGGACAGAGCCCAAGCCCAGAGTTCAAGCCCCACAACTGACCAAAAAAAAAAAAAATGAGGATAATACCTACCTCAGAGAAGTTATAGAATAATCAATACTTTTTTTTTTAAAAGATGTTTTTTAGTAGCACTTAGAACATGTAAATATCACAGTATTTGTTAAATGTGACACTAGAGTGTGACCTCTAAAACTTGTGCTTGCTAGGCAGGCTCTTTGCCTTTTGAGCCACACCTCTTGTCTTTCTGCTTTTTAGATTATTTTTTAGTGTCATGTTTATGCCAGACACTGGCTTGGACCTCAGTCCATTAACCTACTGTTTCCCACATAGCTAGGACCACAGGCATGTACCACCATGCATAGCTTCTTAATTGAAATAGCCTTGCCACATTTTTGCCTACGATGGCCCCAACTTTGATTGTCATGATCTTTGCTTCCTTTATTACATGCATGAGCTTAAATCCAATTTATATTCTTTTTTTTTTGGGGTCCGGTTGTGGGGCCTGAATTCTGGGCCTGGGTGTTGTCCCTCAGCTCTTCAACTCAAGGCAGTGCTCTACCAGTTGAGCCACAGCGCCACTTCCAGCTTTTTTCTTTTTGCTTATGTGGTTCTGAGGAATCGAACCCAGGGCCTCATGCATACAAGGCAAGCACTCTACCGCTGAGCCACCTTCCCAGCCCCCCATTTTATATTCTTATGTTGACATATGTAAGTAAATTGATACCTATCTTCCCATTTACATCATTTGTACATCTTCATAATAATTGCTATTTCTTATTCTCTTTCCATTATAAGGTTCTGGAAGATATGAACCATATTTATCTTCCTTTTCTGAAATGGAAAGCAATGAAAATTACAAACTCGAATTGCATTTGAGTTACAATTCAAAGCACTTTAGTTTTTTTGTTTTTTTTTTTACTAAGAGCATGTCTTGTGTATGTAATTTTTGTGTACAGTATGCCTTATTCTTTATGCCTTAAGATCCTGGCTAACAGTAGAACATATCATATTTCTTTTGCAGCTGTAGAAAGGACTCAACAAAGAAAGCTTGAAGAATTACTTTTAGCAGCAGCAAGAGAAGGCAAAACAGCAGAAATCACAGCTCTGGTAAAAACACAAGCATTATTACAGTTATTTTTTGGTTATGTATGTATTTTTATTTTATATGATGGTTGTGGGCTTGAACTCAGAGCCTCTTGCTCTTGTTTGGATTTTTTATTCAACGTTGTTTGCTAGCATTCCCTATCTTACCGCCACCACTCAATTTTTGGTGGATAATTGGGTTTAAGACTCTCTGGATTTGTCTGCTGTTGGCTTCAAAGGGCAGCCTGGCTTATAAGTTGGAGCCAATAGCACTCATTAAGTTTTAATACACAAGGTGGCTTGAACTCAGGGACTGAATGAACACTGTCCCTTGGCTTTTTCACTCAAGGCTAGCACTCTACCAGTTTAGCCACAGGTCCACTTCCGGACTTGCACAGACTTTTTTACTTGGGCTGGCTTCAACCATGATCCTTAGATCTCAGTCTCCCAAGTAACTAGAATTACAGGCATGGGTGATTAACTGACACATGGCTAGGAAAGTTTATATGTGTGTGCATAATTTAATGAATTGTGGAACCAAAAATAATTTCTGTCATCTCAATAATAGAACAAAAGTCTTATAAATATCTTAGCATAGGAGTAAGGTACTTGTGGCTCATACTTCTAATAATAGCTATTTGGGAGTTGGAGACTGGGAAGATTTTTCAGGCCCACCTCAGGCATACATGAAACTTCTCAACCAGTAGCTGATCTTGGTGTCATGTGTCTGTCATCTCAGGTGTGTAGGAGGCTGAGATTGAGAGGATCACAGTTCCAGGCCAATCTGGGCAGAAGAGTTTATGAGGCACCATTTTACCATAAAAATGTGGTTTGTGGTAGCACAAGGTTATCATCCCAGCTATAATGGGGAAACCAAAATTGGCACATCTTAGTTCAAGCATGTATTTAGGCAGGAATTCAGACTATCTCATAAATAATCTGTTCAAAAAAGTGCTGGAGGCATGACTTGACAACAGATTACCTGCTTAGCAAGTGGAGGGCCTAAGTTCAAACTCCAATATTGAAAGAAAGAAAGAAAAAGAAAGAAAAAAGACCTTAGCAAGTAAACAGTCTAAGCACCATGATTTTTAAATGGTGATCTTTTACTGACTGATTTATGTCCTCTTCCTCTATGGAAAACTTGATAAGAACCCAATTTTTCATACAAATGGTTGCTGTAAGGGTAACTTGTAAGATTTTTTTTTCAGTTTAAGCCAATTTAAAATCAAAACATAATATATAAGACCCTAAACAGGAACCCATTTTTCTAATTTTGATGAGCAGTTTCTGACAGGAGTGCTGTCCTAAAAAGTAACAAGAAGGCCAGTATTTTGAAGCATTTATATCCTGATAGAGCAGCCCACTTTTCTTTTTCTTCCTAGGAGATTTACTTTCCTGTTTCCATTTCCTACAAAATCTCACTAAGCAAAACTCTCAGTTTGTTCTGAATTCAAGAGTGAAGCATTGCCATTTGCTTTAAAGTTATTTTAGCTCATTTTAAAGGCTTCTTTGGTTTCTAAGTATAGTTCCTGCAGCATCTTTAAAATTTTGTGAAATGAAGACTATATAAAGAAATGTCTAAGGCAGTTGGGTGGCAACAACAAACTCAGTAGAACTTTGACATTTACATATTTAACATCTCTTTATAACTCTTCTTGGGAACTCTTTGTAGGAGCTTGATTTGTAGTTTCGCTGTCACGAGTGTGAAATGCAAAGCTTAGTGAAATCTTCATGTCAGAGGTAGATGAGGTTTTGTTGGCATAGTGTGATGTTTGTCTTCAGGGGACATGGACACTGTCCCTTGGCACCTGAGGATAAGCATGAGAATGTCAGTGCTCATTGATTTGGTGAGCAACAAGCCATGGATTCTCCAAAGGCCAAAAAACCTAGCTGTTATTTACGTTCTGCTGGAAACACCTGCACATCATGGGAGAAAGTCTGTCTTTGGCATATAACTTTGCATTGTGTTTCTTTAATTGTTAGCTCAGCAGACCCAATCCTCCTGATGTTAACTGTTCGGATCAGTTAGGGAATACACCTTTGCATTGTGCAGCCTACCGGGCCCATAAGCAGTGTGCCATAAAGCTTCTGAAAAGTGGAGCTGACCCTAACCTAAGGAACAAAAATGGTAAGCATATTGATGAAAACCATTGTTGGTCTATATTTTTTGTTTTATTATTTTATTTTTTTGGGTGGGGATCAGTTGTAGGGTTTGAACTCAGGGCCTGGGTGCTGTCCTTGTTCAAGGCTAGAACTCTACCAATTTGAGCCACAGCTCCACTTCCAGTTGGAGATAAGAGTTTTATTGGGACTTTTCTATCTGGGCTTGCTTTGAACCATGATCCTCAGATCTCAGCCTCCTGAAGAGCTACGATTACAGGCATGAGGCACTGCACCCAGCTCATTGTTGGTCTTTTGATACTATAAGTGAAATCGGTGTTATATAAAAAATGTTTTAGTATCCAGCCTTTGTTAGACTGAGTAGTCTCTAATTTTGAAGTCAAAGCATTCACAAAAGAAAAAGTAGTTGGTTGCTAGTGGCTCATGCTGGTAGTCCTAGTTACTCAGAAAGCTGAGTTCTGAAGATTGAGGTTCAAAGGTGGCTCGGGCAGACAAATGCGAGAGAGTTTTATCTCCAGTTAATCAGCAAAAGGCCAGAATGGAGCTGTGGCTCAAGTGATAGCCAACCCTGAGTGAAAAAGACAAGACAGAATGTGGGGCCCTCAGTTCAAGCTCTGGTACCAGCATATACACACACATATACATACCTGCACAAACACACATGCACAAAAAGTAACTTTACTAATCTTCTTGTCAGTTAAACTTAATTATTAATGATTCCTCCCTATTCTATAGGAGGTAACAGTAAAGGCTAAGATAGCCAGCAAGAGAATCATAGTACAATTCTCATTATTTACAATAGTTATATATTTTTTGATTTGGTTTGTTTTTTTGGTGCTGGTATTGGGGCTTGAACTAAGGGCTAAGTTCTTTAGGACTAAGTTCTGTGAGTCTCAATATTTTTGTAGCATTTTCATGCACTCACCATATGTAACCTTGTTTTTTTTAAAAAATTTTATTGTCAAAGTGATGTACAGAGGGATTACAGTTACATAAATAAGGTAGTGATTATATTTCTTGTCTAACTTGTTACCCCTTCCCTCATTTTTCTTTCTCTTTCCCTCACTCCCGCCCCCAACCCCCCTCACCAAGGTTTACAGATCATTTCCAACATAATGTCTTGTGAGTATCACTGGTGCATAGGTTCCCCTTTGTCCTTTTTCTCACTATTTTGTTGTTCCCCTTCCCTTCCCTAGTTCAGATAAACGTATACCCAGGGTATAAACAATACCCCGGTTATCAAAATCTAATGCAGTGACAACAGGGGATAAAGCATAGGGGGAAAAACACAAAAGAATAAAAGAAACCACGTAGTATATTTACCCAAATGACCACAAACAAGGCCACACTATGTGTGCATAACTATGTTTATTACATCATTATTTACCATAGGTATGAGCTAACCCAGATGCCCCTCAGTAGATGAATGGATCAAGAAAATGTCATATATATATGTGTGTGTGTGTGTATATATATATATATATATATATATATATATATATATATATATATA